GCCAGACAAAAGAAAGGGAAAACGAAACAAACGGCCAGAAGTCCAAGCGTTCGCTTAACCCGAGTGAGCCATGGCCTCCGAGAAGCCAAGCGAAACCATACCGTGATTAACGGGCGGGAAGAGCCTATCAGCGGGACGGCACACAGTCAGATCTTGTGGTTAGCCGTTCTCCCTTTCTCTCTGACCATGATCCTCTGCGACTAACCCTCTTCTGTCAGGTGCCGGTCTCAGAGGGGGATTCTTCCTTCTAGCGCAACACCTTTTTTGACGAGTCTGACTTATCACCAGGCAATTAATTGATCGGCTTCGCTTTCTCCCGCAACTCAAATTTTGTGAGCTCTGGCCAACTGCTCTCCACTCTTTACAGAGCATCAATTGCACACACAGCATTGAGTCAGTTGAAAGCGACGTCAAGCAACTTTGAAGGTGCACCGTACCCAACTATCGGCAAACATGTACGTCGCTGTTAGAGAGTTTGTTGCCTCATGACCTAAAAGGCTGAGCAATACCACTTACTGGCCAGTATTGAGATCGGATGCTTGGAGGGGTTATGATGAACCATTATACCTTTAGATCCCTGTCCATGTCCATTTCAAGTGTGGAGAAAGGGAAACAGGGGTACGCCTGGTTCAGGTCTGAAGGATACTGGTGAGCTTCTTTCATTAAAAGCTCCTACAGCATACACCGCTTCTTCAAAAATACCCCTCGAGACAGGACGAGCCCCAGCCGCTTCAGCGCGTTCGCCAGCTTGTCAACAACAGACGGCCTCTACTTATGTAAGAACGAACAGGCTAAGCCTAATGAAGTTCCAACGAGACCACCCATCACAGTAGTCAGCGTTGATGGATATTGGAGCTCCTGCCAAGCCTCTATCCCACATCCCATGAGAACCGCTACCACCATGAGTTGGTTCTCTGCTACCGTCCAGGCTGCCCATACTGCACTTGGTTTGTACAGTTGACCCGTCTAAAAACGGTGGTGGGCGACTGAGACCCAGACCCTCGGTTGGCCAGAAGAGCACACCTCAACTGAAATGGGCTGAAGAGCCAACCACGCCCAGCCTTTTCTTACCTACCTGATCACATTTCTACTGCAAGGCACGAGCCCTCCTGATCATGGCAAAATCTGTGAGGGGTAGGATGGGCATACCTTACCACGCTTTTCAAGATTGAGGTCCAGGGTCGGCCGCTGGTTGGTCGAATTCGGCACTTCCTCTTTGGTGTTCTCCTCTGTCGCGACTTAGACGGGCCCGGAGGACTTTCTTGAGACCAAAGTCCGCATCCTCCTTGTCGTACCATTCGTCAAGGCCCTCTCCTCTAACATCATGACGACACCATCAAGGAATGACTTGCAGTAGTACCGCATCAACTCATGAAATTCGGTAGCGCCTGTGGATACACGCTAGGCACAGCCATTTCACCCATTTGACCAATAGTAATATTTAGCAAGCCATCAGATCTTTATTTACAGCTAGGCCAATTAAGAAGCTAGAAACAGGCAGGCGCGTATCCACAGGCGCTACCGAATTTCATGAGTTATAGCGGTAGCTCGAGGGCCTCGGAGGAGCAATCCCCCGATCTTCTCTTGCCGTTGGTCCACGTGCGGCACGAGGCTGAGCCCATGGCAGTATCGAGCAAGTGAGTTTAATTACTTGGTAGGGCATACATTCAATCTCAAGCAGAATCATTGTGAGTGGACAGATGAAGTTGATATCAAAATGCAGGGGTTCCAGTTCCGATCAGGATATATCGGATGGAACGGTAGACGGGTCATCTCGGTGACTTGTCTCTCCGTCCGTTCTTAATGCCGTTGATACCTGGATGATGACACTGTCATCCTTATCAAATATGCTATACAGAGAGGCTGTCATATGTTTGCAGTGAATTCGAGTTTTCTCCCTGTCATATCTCATGACATAGAAATAACGCAATAAAACACAACAAAGCGAAGGACTATACTTTCAATTTTATGCTATGTACATTCGTACATACATACATAGGACATGACTGCATCTCCCAGGGTCCTGCAGCTGATGCTACCACACGTACGTTGATGCCAGACAAGGGATATATCCCACAAGTTCACAGCCGAGAGCACATCAGCGTCATTGCGAACCCACTCAGTGCCTGTGTTTCTCCTCCCTCCGTTTCAAACGTCGGGTTGCTCCACCTTGACATTACATCGCGAACGGGTCAGGTCGGCTTTTACTAATGTATGTACGGTGATCCTTCGCTTCATCAACCCTCAGACAATCACTCACTGGTTTCTAATCTGCCATCGAAGGGTATGTGCGTATTCTCCTCCAATAGCGACCATTCGCTTGTCCATCCCGATGCAATCATCTGCATGCGATGAGACCCTGCGGCTTCTTGACAAAGGGCCTGAGACATTGGTGTTGAACAGAAAACTTGAGAATTATTAACTTGATAAGATAAGACGATGATCCTATCGCTTGATACTCTCGGAAGTCTCGGATTCGATGAGCAACGGACCCAGTAGCAGATGGTACTGCGCAAGCGAGACAAAGTATCTCAAGTATATATGTCTTACACGCAACGAACCCTCCTGTTCTACGAATATGTCTTGATACACACAAGTCATAGCATGACTCGTGGGCCCAACGTCGCAAGAGCCGCAAGCACGAGTAAGCTTCGCAAGAAAGAAAGAAAGACTATGAAAAATAAAAAGACCATTTCAATACCTATTCCATGGCTGTGGCTGGCCTTGGTTGCGGCAAGCTAAACTAAGTTGCCAGGGTTCGTCGCAGGCATCATCCCTGCTTAAGATGATGAATCGGTTACGGACGTCCTCAAGAATGTGGTTTGTGTTTTCCGAGGCTTAGATTTTGATGCTTCATTAAATCCGTTTAGCAATGGACCATAACGTCTTTTTTTTACGACCGTTCAACCCTTTCAAGAATGCAAACTCTGCACCGGAGTGGACTGCACTGGCTTGAGTTTGCTCATCAGTTCTCCACCAAGATTTTGTTCACGGGTGGCTAATTCAAGACTTACAACTCTACTGGAGTCAACAGGTCACGCAAGTATACCAAGAATAGACCGTTCAAGTGTCAACTCCTCCACAATCCTAACAGAACCTTAGGTATCTGTCACTGTTGTAAAGAGGGCCCCGTTTCCCCTTACCACAAGAAGGATTGGTTGAGTTTGGTCTCCATATCCAAAGCAATACCTAGCTAATGCACTCAAAGCTGACTCGCATTCACGTATCATCCCTCGGTCCAATCCAGCAGAGACACAAAACACGATGTCCACCGTGAAGTTAAGAGTTATGGACCATTGCCTCTTGATCATTACGGCCCAACTTAACCGAGTCTCTGCTACACAGACTCCTTCTTTTCATACATGATGGTGCGGCTCTTGAGCAGCCCAGCACGAGGCACCAAAAACAGTTCAACAGGTGCTGTGATTAGGCAGGGATCTTGGGACAAATGGCAGCTGCAGAAGCCATGAACAAGCCGTGTGCGGCGCCAGCAGATCGTAGGATGGCACAAACCTTGATCGTCCTGTTATTTCGCATCCCAAGGCCGCGGTCAAGGTTCTTGCTTCCGTACGGCAAACATCTTCTAGGGCTGAGGTAGGGTAGAAGGCCTCAAAAGTAGGTCACAACTGGTTCAAGGGAATCTGTTGGTCGATCGCCGTTCCTGGGCCGGTTCCTGGAATACAACCTAGGGTTGCAGAAGTTGGCCGCATGAAACGTGGCATGCGAATTACTGCGTGGTCGCCACCAAATCATCTTCCTTTTTCTTTCAGTAAACGCCGCTCTGTTGTTTTTCTACGACTATTGACAGCCGAGTTTTGCCAAGTCATGCCGTTGCTGACAGCCTGCTATAAGCCCAATACCACCACAGCCTCATGCGTGTCTTTTTAGTTCTCACCAGCCCTGAGCCTTGTGTTTCAGATCGTTATCATTTACCGGTTTCCGGTCAGATCCGTGCTCGATTCTCGATTCAGTTACCCTCAAGACGTTCACATGGTTAACTTTACCCGAGACTTTGATATTGGACTCTGATCTGGATGCACCCATCACGATCTCAACTGTTTGATATGACAATGCTATCGCCGTGTAGGGTTGCACTTTGCTTCATTCCGCATGAAACAGGCCATGCCACTTTGGGGAGACTATATTTCATCTTTACTTCCCTCATTAGCCACCAACGTCGTAAAACATGTACTCTTATTTGTGCTAAGAAATTGAGGCTTAGTCTGTGTATAGGGTAATCGGTGCTTGATATCACATCCACAGTAGAGGGTGAATGTCATGTTACATTGCAGTATGTTAGACGCCACTGTTTCTGGGATCATTCGAAGGCCGTGATGTTTTGGAGGCGTTGATGTGATTCTTGCTCTAACCTATTTTATAACTGATCATTGTTTGTTTAGTGATGAATGACTCGTCAAGCCACGGACCAACGGTCTACCTCACCTTGCCCACATTATTCCCGCGGATAGTTCAAGCCACATATCTGCAATGCCATGAATAAATGTCGTCAAGCTTTGTACTTGTGTTTCAGGAGTCGAGGCTGGAAAAAGTAGTAAGAAGCGGTGAGTTCACTTCTCTCCAGTGAAGAAGTTGTTCATAAAGTGTAGGGTAGTTATCTTCAAGAAACGGAGCAACAATTTTCATATCTAGCTGAACAATACCGAAGCTTTACGTCTAAGCAGTAGATTCTGGGCCATATTTAACTTATCACTTCTTTTACCATTCTTGCCACACAAAGAGCTTTGCTTGATCTAATATAAACACGATGAACAGAAATATTGAAGCTCATTACATACACGTACTGGCGAGAACCAAATCACCTGAGCATATGCTCACATAGGTTGTTGTAGTTAAAAGGAAGATGAAGATATAAATTTAGGAAGTACCCTACAAAACAAATCAACTATCATGAAAAAAAAATAATTAAAAAAAATAACCAAAGCAAATAATAAAAACAATAACAGGGAAAAACACAAGCATCTTGGCTTCTTATGCCCATTTTAATACTTGAGCCAGCCAACTTCTATAGAACGACACTTGACGTCTAATTCCTCACCAGATGATGTCTAAATCTGAATCTATGGCAACTTGCCACTGATCTCCCCAGTCATTATCGGGAGCTCCCCAAGAGTCTCCCGAGTCCTCTTTGTTGGAAATGGCAGACCGAGACTTTGAGTCAGTTGAGGGTTCCGAGGAAGATGAGTCGCGTACTTGCAGCATCGCGCACTCGAACCATGCTTCCTCAGCCCTGAGCAGACGCTCTTGGCAATACTTGAGATCTATGTACATACCGAGATCCCTAAGGAAGTCCAAGACGTCGTATGTACACTCGCGAGAAACGTCGTCCCGGGAGAGGTTGCCAATGACACGCATCAGCTGTGAAGGCTCCGCATCTCGTGCCCACTCGAGCATACGACACTGTATCTTGATCCAGGTGACGATCCATTCGGCATCGAGGCTACCGCCTGCGAGCCGAGACTCGACAGTGCCGTGAGTCTCTTTTGTTTTTAAAGGGGGTATCTCGTCTTGTAACTGACCTTTCCAGTTGTAACTGTAAAATTTCTCCAAAGTTTTATTGTCACACATCAGATGTGCGATCTGATGCACACCGACGTCGCAGGCCAGGAGCTCAGTGACTCCTCTCCAAGCAACCTTTGATGCTTTCAATGAGGCATCATCATCACCTTTGTCAAGGTCCATGTCATAAACACATGACAGGATGTCCGCTTGCTTTGATACAGCCTTCAGTTTCTTCCGTTGCTCGTCCAGCAAAGGCACGCCATCAGATGACCTACAAGAAGCGGTCGACTGGGAGGCTGGAAAATCGAGCTGTGGAGGTAGATCACGACGGGTACGGTTAGATTCATCATCTAGCCGTTCAGCCTTGTCCCCATTGATGAAGTCTCTGATGTAGGGCATATAACGAACTTCTCGCCGAACTCCTTTGGCTTTTCTTGGTCGATCGAAATGTCTGCTGTCTTCGCACTCGTAGTCGGAATCATCACTTTCACAATCAGGATCCAGAAGCCTTCCATCGTCCTCCCCCGCCCAGGTTTCGCGAAGACGTCGGATCAGTGTGACCCTGGAAGCAACGGGATCTTCTCCGAGTTTCCTCGCCCGTGAAATGTATCGAGGTATGAAATTTTGCCCTGTGACTTCGCGCCGTGCCATATCTGCAGTCACGTTGTCACTCAACTCAGTACCAGTAAAGCGTCGGATAGACTTGGAGTAACGAGCAAAACTTCGCGCCGGGCAATGGAGAGTAGATAGCACCGGGTCGGATGCCCACTGGAGGGCCGCGTAGTTTCTCGATGCATGCATGTCCATCTGATGAGGCCCATTGCCAACGTGAACATGAAAACCGCACGAGGTATTGACTCGAACACGTAAGTTGTTAGTCAAAAGTCTAACAACTACTGACACAAGCCTGTATGCCTCATCGCAAGCATACATTGGTGGGCTTGCTATCTCTACCGCATCCCACGCATAGGTCTTATTCTCCCATGCTGTTCCAGACTCTGACACTGAACCGTCTGTCGTGACGAGCCATGAATATTTCTTCGTGTCGCAATTCTCTTGCACCGTTTCTGCACAGAATCCGTGATCTCGTAGCAATTCCAAAACTGCTGTTTCGCCATAAGTGTGGCCCGTGGCTGGCGCGAGGCCAGGGATACTGTCATCTGCTTCAACTTTCCTTGGATCTACAGCCACCAGGAATTCTAGCTCGAAACCGAAGCTGGCGCGTGGAGGCCAAGTATACTTATCGTCGTGCTTAGGGCCCGTCTCATTGGTAACGCGAGGCTCCATCTTGCCTTTCTGCTCGGCTGTAGGTTGATTCCGAGAATTGGTGGTAATGTTTTGCTCCCCCATGTTGAATATGGTTCTTATACTTGACTGATCAACAGAGAGCCTGCTCTATTGGCCTGGGGTTATCAGAATTGAATAATGCTTCAATCTTCGACTTTCGATGCAAGATGCTTTGAGCTGTTTGGGACTGCTCGACCCCGGAGATGGCATCGGCTCCTTGTATACCTGACTTAGACAGTTCGGTCCCTGTTCGTTAGTCGTTAGCATGTTCCTAAGGCGACATGTTCAACACGTACAATTGTATTTTCTTCGGCAACTCAGAGGCTGAACACACGCTGAGTCGAGAGAACATCCCAGCAATTCATTGTACAATCACACAAAGCACCGACACATCCATGATCCAAAAAATTTCAAAAGACTCAAGGTCAAGCCATTGTTTCGTTGTCTTGTTCAATGTCGTCGAGTTTTCCTACTCCTTTCGCCTCTTGCTATGAACGTATTGAATTGTAAAGCATAAAATAACCACCACCCTCGCCAGTGCATCTCTCTGTCGTCCCCATGAAAGGCGCACAAGCCCCCGGTCCATCAATCCGCCAGTCGGTACGCCGAAGCGTGTCATTACCTCGTCCAAGCTTTAACAAAGCTTCATCGTTGGGTCTTAAACTCATCAAAAAGGTATCGCATTGCATGTCGAAAAGGTGTATTGTATAATAAAATTGGGCACGAGAAGTGAAGAAAGGTGCATGGGATAGACTCTAACCTGTCACCCATCGGCCAAAAGCGGCACGTGACGGGGAACCAGGATATTGTCGTAGCACTGCTGATGGCAGCACCCCACACTTCAACCTCCAGCAATTAGATGAGGTAGGCCAGCATGCCGAGAGCGACAGCGGCGGCCGCACCCCTACCCGCTGGCGCCATCGTAGGGGCAGCGAAACCATCGGATGTCGTCGAAGTCACGGACTCGGCGGTGCCAGTAGCTTCCGACGAGGCACGAGTGGCGGATGTAGTGGCAGTGTCGCTGGCAGTGCTGGTAGTATCGTCGCCATCATCGCTCACCACGTCCTTAGGGGGGTTCTGCTTGGCGCATTTGTCGTCGATCTTGGAAGTGCATTCCCTCTGACCAGATTGGCTGCCAGTGTTCTGCGAAATGCACTGGCTGAAGAGCTCCTGGCAAATAAAGGTAGGCATGGTCTGGGTGTAGTACTGGAGACCGGGGGTCGAGCTGTTGGAGGAGCAAGTGCATTCCCACTTGAGATCGTTCTTGAAGAAGTGTTAGCATCCTTCAAGTTGATGAGAAAGTGACTGAAAAGCACTACATACCTCGGTACATTTGTTTGAGTTGGTATCGTCATTGCAAAGAGCATCACAGGTGTTCTGCTGGGCTCCACACCAGGAAGCTGTGAAATGTTAGCACGCTGAAGATCATTTGAGAGTTTTCTATTCTCAGCACGTACATCTGGTAGCGAGATCCACAATATTGGGGTCAATGGTCATGTCAAGGGAGCTCTTGTAGTCCTTGACAGACTGGGCCGAGACGGCCGAGATGGCCATGGCGAGGAGGGCAAAAGATGAACGCATCGTGAGCAATGTTTGCGTAGAGTGTTTATGGATCTATTGTGAGACGGTTATCGTGATGAAGGCGGTGCAATAAGTGGAACGATGATGAATCGATGTTTTACGAGAAGTTGTTTTTCGCAAGGTTGACAAATGGGTTGATATTCTTTTTATGTCAAAAGGTCTTCTGATGCAAACGGAGCACGGAAGGAACAGAGGAGAAAGAAGCGCAGATGTGTTAGGTTTTAAACGATGGGAAAGAAACCCGGAGGGAGCAGACAACAGCAACAAAGTTTGGGCAGGTGCGGATAGTAGCTAACCAGGTCCGTTAGTAGCTTGGCTTTTTCTGGGCAGGTGCCGTCACTTGCGACTGGCCCTCGGTTTGATTACCTTGCTCGCCTTAGACAAGACCGTGCTTCCAGACTCAGTTGGGTACCTTGGGCCTCTCTGTAAACACTGACAACAACACTGAAATCGATGGAACTGGAACTGGAACTCGGCCCCGGCATCAAGTGCCCACAACCCGTAACCCATGAGGATCTCCATCTCGGGCAAGTCGATGGGCTATCTGACCAATAGAATATCTTCCTGGTGGCATCCGCCATTGACTTCGTTGCAACAGGCACAGCTCGGCTAGAGGCCACCTCGTACCCACACCATCCCTGTCTTAGCCACTTACCACTCACACCATCCTGACCCTAGTCGAGCTTGGCCAGCGCCATTTCCGTTTTGACTACCCTCAACCACCATGATTTTCCGTGTAGGTGCAAGAGCTTGAGAGTTGATGAAGCCAAGCAGACACTGATGTCTATGCTGCGCCTTCGCCGCCTCCTCATTGACTAATTGTCGTTCGTGGATCCTCCTCGGGTAGAATTCCGTCTCGAGGAGTGACAAGGCCCAGGCAAGCGGCTGGGACCGAACAAGTGGGACAATATCAACAATCAATTGTCACTCACTCATGGGTGACCAGGATCTTCTCATGCACGTTGACGGGCACTAGATTGAGCTCTCGATATCGCGCTAGATTCCAGCGGCGTCCAGCTCCAGTCTCGTCATCACTCATCACTCACTCTGTTTCTAACACAGACCGAAAGTCTGCAAGCACAAGGGTTCCCCAGCAAATACAATAAGTCGTACTTTGAAAAATATCGCGGCCACTTTAAATCATCATGAAAGATAGCTTCATATGTAACAATGAATGGTTTATGAATAGCCTAAAGGCTCGGTACTTTTATGGTATGTGGTACTAAATCCAAAGTTTAGACTTTGTATTTCCACCAATTCTCATGATGATGAGAGAGCTGCGACTTGAATTCGTCGGTTTTTCACTCCTCGTAGGCTCGGTTCTCGCAGGCGAGCAAAAAGTCCGCCCAGCATCCAAGAGGCCCATATATGAGACGAGCCAATAATTTCGGGCGTTTTGCATCACCATTGTCTCTGATTTCGGACACGGACCATCTTATTAGCCTGCCATATCGCCGTCATTTTTCCCGTGCTCGCAACAGAAACAAGCACGAACAGAGGCATGATTGTCTCTTGATACACACTTCAAGAAACTCTGCAACAGCTGCAACTGAGGGGGTTGACTGGGCAATGTTTACTTGGCGAGAGGCTGGTTTGCAGCGCGACTAAAAGAACTGGAGACTGATCTGCCCAGAGGCGCTATTCCGGAACAAACGGGAAAAAGGCAAAGGCAATTTTTACTATCATGTCACTTGCTCATAGAGAAAGACATTCGCCAAGATGCTAATCTTTCTCCAACGGGGTCACGGCATTTCAGCGCCGATGGTTGTACAGACACTCGGACCTTTTGTTCATGTTGGGTAGGTTATCTCATCCACTATGTCTACTTTCATTTATAGCCCTTGCATGCTGATTCTTTAAACCATGATACATATGAGTTTCGAAGTGGTTTAGGGAGTCGAATCACTTTTTCAGTAAGCAGACCTCATGTTTCGTGATATTGGGTCTCAGCAGTTTCGAAACTCTTCACACCAGGCAAAGAAAGAAAAGGCCCTGTTGTTGTTTTTTTTCTTCTCGCTTTCCACCGAAGCGGCAGCTCATCAAAGTGACAAGTGGATGATAAAAGACTTGGTTAGCGCAATTCTTTATCCACCCTTGGTCCGCGTTCCTTGTCCCTTGTCTCGTCCCATCTAAAGTGCGTCACTCCATTATCCCCGTCACGAACTAATCTGCCCATTCCCCTTCCCCTGTTCAGGTGTCAACAGGCTGTTCTCTTCCTTGCGGTCACTGGCAGTTTGTGTATGGAGTTGATCTTGAGTTAGGTTATCATGACCAGGTTGAGCGACCACGGCCTGTAAACTCCACACCATTCATTGATTATCAGTTCCCATGATGAAACCGAGGCTGGCCCTCAAACGAAGTCTTCGACAAAAGCGTTGACAAGCTTGTGTCAGTTTTCACCAATGAGAAACCCCAATGACACCCCAGACACGATCAAGTCAGCGCCACGTATCTGTGGTTGCTGTTGTAAGTTGGCCATCAGGGCATGGCTTATTAGCCTGGATTCACCTTGGCAGCATAGAAATCTTCTCATCGACGGAGCCAGCGAGGTTACACTGGCTGTGAAGGTATCATTCTCTGCGATTCGATCTTCTGTTGTTGGTTTCCAACCACCTTGTTACAAAGGAGAAGAGAACGCTGAGAGGCTGGTGATTTCAGGATCTTCGAACCCTATCTGTAGCCATCAATTTAGTGCCGCGGCTAAGAGATGGCTTTCCTTTGCCTTTTCCTGTTGGCAGCTCTACGGTTGACCAGCCTCTCGTGCTCTTATCACGAGGACCCTTGCTGTTGGCAATCGCTGAGCTAAGAGGGAGCGCTGAGCTTGGCCAGGCCTTCAGAATTCTGGTCTCTTTTTAGCCCCCCTGCAGCTACATCGCGGATTGCTGACGTTGCTAGCCGCCTTTTAACTTCACCTCTGCTCAACTGCTGCCAATGTACTCGTTTAGGCGTTGTTGTCGAGCCACGCGTACAGCCTATGATAAGGCTACGGGCACAGCCTAAGAAGTTGAGTTGAGCTGAGTTGAGCTGGCTCTTACGCGGCTAAAACCAATGGCTTCAAGTTTGTTCCAGTTCATGTCTGCCGATATTCCGCAGAAGCAATGCCCTTTTTCTAAGGGCACAACAGAATGCCGCTCTTTCCGTCTCGATCAGAGAGTAATTACGGTCTTATATGAGGATCTCATTGCATTCCCTAGCGGCTCGGCACGATCTTCCGAGTCCCATGTGTTTTTCTATCATATCTAAGACAACACATTGGTCATCATGAAATATACCCAAATAACACCAAACTTTCGATTCTGTGGTTTTCGCATGTTTTAATTAGGCTCGTTATAACCCCTTTTTGTAAAGAATTCGGGGCTTGCCATGTCTTATCGGTTGTGTATGATACAAGTTGACATTCGATGATCTACGGTTCAGCATGAACTCCACAATATTGGGTTAGAGGGTTGTTCGTTCCTATGTTAGTCAAAATTTCCGTTGAGTCTGTAAATTTAGATCTTGACATTGGGTAATATTAGATCCCATTCGATGTATTCCAAGCAAGCAACGTAGTACATGTGGCTCATGTCTGCCGTCAACAACAGTATGGCATTTTGGTTGTGTGACGTATAAGGAGCTGTTACTGGTCCACGAGTGAAGCTCCTTCATTATTTAATACTAAATATGTTGAGAGTATATAAGTTTAAAAGACGGATAAGGCAAGAGCTGGCATTCGTATCAACCACAGAGGACATACCTGTATCTCACTTTCAGAGAGATACCGATAGTTAGATACAGGGTAGTTAACTTTGTAATCCTCTGCACTAAGAATGGATGCGAAGCTCGGAATCAGTGGGGGGTGGAGAGCTCCCATCAGGTAACGCGGTCGGTCCCTGCATGACGATCTCAGCTCCAGTCCTGAAATCCATTGGTTAATAGCCTAACCTAACAACTCCAACTTCAACTACCTACCTACGACCGATAGGATCTGTATCTGCCCGTCTACCATACACTCTCTGCCCTATGATACAGCTTCGATCAGCCATGTTCCGACAAAAATAAAGGTCCTTGGTTCTCTTCCATGCACCTGTCGAATCAAATCTGAAGCCGCACAGCAGCGCTCGATGCACTCCAACTGCTGCTGACCCCCTCCATTTCCTCTCCTTTCCACCATCACCCAACTCTATAGACAGAACCATACAAGACACTGTCTATCATGAACCACCTACCACGCGAACTAGTCGATGCGATACTTCAGCAATGCATCGCATACGGCCCCAAGAATGCAGTCCTCGATCTTCGGCTCGTTTGCCGCGTCTTTGACCAGATCCTTAAGCCGTTCGTATGCCGGACTCTGGACCTGGAATTCTCGCGCCTGAGCAAGACGAGCGGTATAGAACATCCACAAATGGACGCACTCCAGACGATAGGATACCATTGCAAGAGCCTCTACATTGACCTGATGGTTCTGAGAGATGACCGTGAGTGTGGCACCTCGGGCCTCCGCACATGTGGTAGCTAACTGATACTTGCCAGTGGAAGTCGAGTTCCTTGATACCGTATTTGCACGGGTCCCGTCCATGGCAGACTTTTGTCAAACACTACACAAAAAATACTGCATGAATGAAACATCTTTCACGGAGACAGATTACTACCAGAAGGTCGAGGAGATGCTATTCTACTGCCGTGACGTTGACCGTCTACGACTTAACCTCCCCTTCCAGCTCGTCGGCCGCCATTGTAACGCCGCCACCATGATCCTGGCCAACACACTGAAAGCTTTTGCGCAGCGACCCGAGGAAGACTCAGCGAAGCTCAATACACTCGTCGTAGAGAATGTGACCGATGTAGCCATACGCCACCTCTGGATGAACCCGATCGATGTGATGAACATCATGAAAGTATTGGAGGTGCTGGAACACCTCATCTTGACGTTACGGCGACACGAAAACGAGCCCATAACCGTAGGCTTATTCGGATCTTGCCTTTGGAACCTCGTCGAGAACGCAGGAGAGCTCAAGAGTCTCTGTTTGATAGGGATGGACCACGACGATCGCCCACCACGAGGGCTGAAACAGACGAAATTCTGGCAGATGCCAGTTGACGAGTGGCGCGCAAAGTCATTACCGGCGCCTAATGTCATACACTCTAGCCTGACATGTTTGGAGCTTAAACGGATCGAGTTGTGCCCAGAGGTATTTGTCCGTACCGCGGAGAATTTTGGGACAACACTTCAAGAGCTTTATTTGAACGAAGTATATCTCAAGGTTGAGCAGTCGCGCGACTGGAACGAGGATTCTAAGAAAATCCTCTGGGTCGGCATGCCCAACCAACGTCCAGGGGATGACTGCCATTGGATTGCTATGGCGCTGAGATGTGCAACACCCCACCTGAGAACCTGTCGAGCATCTTTCCTGGCATATGATCACTATATACTCGAAGATATGCCCACACAACCAGAGTTTGACCTTATTGACCCCTGTGGCCTTGGTCGAAGCATCTCTCAGCGCTTTGTTGAAGTGGTCATGGGAATCCGCCAACCTACGGCTCTTACGAAAGATGTAGTTGAATATCTGCCCGCGGACGCTCTGTTCGACGGTCTTCTGAACAACCTGCTCCCACGGGACCGTGCCTTGGGAGTAGTTGAATACGATACTAATGCTTACCAGACGGCTGTTGCCAACTCAACGTCAGAATGGCAACGCAGCATCGATGGCGTTTTCCCCAATTGCAACTCCAACACTCTCGACGAGTTACATTACATTGCTGAGACAGCATGCCAAGGCATGAATGAGATACATCGGCGTCGCAACGAGTGGTCCGCCGAGAATAGTATGGCGAATGAGTTCACGGAAAACTTGTTTAATATCCCACCTTCTGACGACGAACATATTTGATGACGATTCGGGGTCACTTGCTTCACGACGAGATATCACGACCCATTGGTTATAGACAACTTCGAGAAATCGAAATAATATTCTTCAGGTAGCTTGCCATTATCAAGCCTCAATAACAAAGAGATGCGATTTGCATCAGTTTTGACCATAGTCGCTGTATAAATGCCAACCCAGGGGGGCCTTGAATGAAGCACGCCCCTATCTTTTTTATTTGCTTTTGAAGCACCCTCAAACAAAGGAAACAATTATCATAACACGTCATCATATATCCTCTTCTAAATAATGGAAAAATCGAGTGGAAAAAAACATCTAGGATATGCGCCTAGGAGCCGTTAACGCCATTGCCGTTGAAACCGTTGGTCTTGGCTGCGGAGGTAGCCTTCTCGAGGGCCTGGAGAACGTCATTGGTAAGGTCCTGGGCGTCCTCAACACCGCAGCTGATGCGGACAAGGTCGTCGAAGATACCGACAGCCTCACGCTGATCTCGAGGGATACCAGCATGAGTCATGCTGCTGGGAACCTCGACCAGACTCTCAACACCACCAAGACTCTCAGCGAGGGTGAAGATCTTTGTCACCTGGCAGAAACGCTCAGCGGCAGCGTGACCACCCTGGATGCGGAATGAGAGCATACCACCACCCAGACCATCACGATGCTGCTTCTTGGCGATATGTCGGTGAGGGTGAGAGTCAAGACCTGGGTAGTTGACGGCAATGACCAGAGGAGAAGCCTCAAGAGCTCGGGCCACAGCATCAGCGTTGCGGCTAGCCTCACGAGCTCGCAGATGCAGAGTCTTGAGACCACGGTGAGCAAGCCAGGAGTCGAATGCTGAGGGAACAGCGCCAATGGCGTTCTGAAGGAAGCTCAGACGGTTCTTGAGCTCGTCGCTGTTGAAAGCAGCAACACCCATGACCACATCACTGTGACCGTTGATGTACTTGGTGACACTGTGGACGACGATGTCGGCACCAAAATCGAGCGGGTTCTGGACGTAAGGGGAGAGAAAAGTATTGTCAACAACGACGAGGACACCATGCTTGTGGGCCTCAGAAACAACAGCTCGGACATCGACAAGGCGCAGGGTAGGGTTGCTAGGACTCTCGATCCAGATCAGACGGGTATCGGGGGTAATGTGCTCGCTGATATCGACCTCGATCTCTGGTGTGAAGGTAACCTTGACGCCGTGGGCCTTTGCAACCTGAGTGAAGTAACGGTGGGTACCTCCGTAGACATCGGAGACGGAGATGACATGGCTGCCGGCAGCGAGACTCTGGAGGATAGTGGCGGTGGTGGCGGAACCGGAGGAGAAAGCGAGGGCGTACTTGGCGTGCTCGAGAGCAGCAACAGCGGTCTCGAAGTTGGTACGGTTAGGGTTGGAGGATCGGGAGTACTCATACTCGCCAACGGGCTTGCCAACGGCGGACTGAGCAAATGTGGTCGACAGAGAGATGGACTCAATCACGGCGCCGGTAGCGGGGTCATGTGGAGCGCCGGCGTGGACGGCGAGAGTACCGAAGCTGTGGACGGGGGACGGAGGGCGAGGTGGGGTGGCCACGGGGTCCGAGTTGAGAGGAGCAGCCGACATTGTAGCTGAGGATTGACTGAAGTGTGAAAGAGAGGAGGGGTATAATTGGGCCTCGATAAGGTATAGGGACGAGGTAGAAGAAAGCTGAAGAAAGTTTTGAGTTGAGGTGAAGTAAGGAAGAGGTTGAGGTGGGATGGATGTGGTCACAGAGATGTTAATATAGATATAAACTCTGGGCTCTAGCGACAAGCAAGTGGAGGTCCAGGCGGGGCTGAAGGGTGAAAAAAAATAGGGAAAAAGCCTTTTTTCCTTTTCTTGTGTTGCCCTGGTCTGTTGTGTAATGTAATCGGTATGGGGAATGTGAGAGGGACCCTTTTTATTTCAGAGCTAGGTACCTTAGCTACTGTATGGCAATTCGGCTGCGCCAGGTTACAGAGAAACAAAGGTAAGCCTCGGTTTGACGCGATCCAGGGTCGAGATGATGCGCAAAAGGCGGAGGGCGTAGAGTTTAGTCCTGAAAGAGAAATGTCGTGTCGTCGATAATAAAACAGACAGAAAGTCTCAGGTCTAGAGCGGGTTTTGAAACCTTGACGATCACGTCACAGCAGCCTCTTGAGCAAGGGATCAAGAGTTCAGAGTCAAAAGACAATGATGAGATCTCAACTTCTCGGGGAAATTGACTCAATAGATTAATAATGTATGGTTCAGAGAGTAAATAAACGTAAAAAGAATTGATTAGTGAGTGACTCGTGTACAAAAAAATATGCAACTCTGGCTGGGTTGGGTTTTTCGTGGTCGGTTATCGGCTCTCGGTGTACAAAGTACAGACAGATATCGTCGGTTTAAGGATCAGAGGGATTGGATGCTGGGATTGTGGAATCATGGAAGGGACCAGCGAAGGAAAAAATGGGCTCCCTTGATTTATATCAATTTTCCATTTATTCTAGCGCCTGCATTACACAATTGGAATAGATGAATTGACTTCTTCTATGGCTTGTCCCATTCCATACATTTGTGAGTCGAAGAGATAGATCAGAAGAAGAAGAGTCGGGAAATGGATTACACAAGACTCAATCCATGTACATCATGTCTACTTACCCCTCCTCCCAACTTTATCTCAGAGTTGGTGATATCTCGTGTACAGGATCGTACCCTGGCCGATGGCCCGGATGGCGCCGCCTCTTGTGCCTTTCGTCATCCGTCAGAGCATGCACGGATGAAAAGAAAACGGCCGAAGTCCACAGCCAAAAAATGTATGATTACAAGTGACGGTTTGACAGGTAAATGCCTGTTTGGGTAACCTTGCGGCGTGCCCGAGTTGATTTCCTTGGCCTCAATGACAAATGCGACCTACAAGAGCTGCTTACAGAAGCATTCGGCTTTCTCTGCAGTATCTGCATACGGTAAGTTGGCGCCGCTGCAGCAACAAAGGCCCCTCCCTATGTCCTCCATGGCTTACATATATTGGTTCCATATCATCTTATTTCCCTGGCGCAAGGCGCGCGAATACCATTCGATGTTTCCCATTGTTGTCGGGTTTGCGACGGGCAGATGCGGTCCTTTCGGCGATAAGTGGAGGGGGGGTGTTCTTGTATCCATCAATTCACCGTGAGAGACAGCGGAGGAAAGCCTTCAAGCGTTTTAGCCAGCTCAGCTAACAGAGAACCTTTGATCGGTGAGGCTCTGGCGCATCATGTGCTCGATGTCGTGATAGAAGGGAGAATGTGTCTTTGGTAAGATACGGTTCTCGCTGGCTGTAAGCCGCCGCATGTCTGACATCCATAGTTCCACCGAAAATACCTACCTACTACTTTCGGTGATATATACAGAGTATTGAGCCGATATGGCCGCAATATTTTCAATCAGGTAACCTACCTAGGAACTCACATCACATTGTGTTTATTTGATGATTAAAACCCCCGGGTTTGCTTTGGAATCAGCGCAACAGCGCAAGCCGTGATCCTCAAATAGAATACATGACCGACATCCCGTGCAAGGATTTGTTCCGTTGGTGTGTACAACCTCGTTTTACCGAACTCTTTGAGTGGCTGCAACACAATTCTTATTAGGTACAGAGGCTGATGGCATTCGTGATTGTCCTGTGTCCCCCGCAAAAGTCTCACACACCTGGAGAGAGCTGCCAGAAAAGATAAGCGGTTCCTTGCAGGTCGACGATGTCGTGATTGTTCGTGTCGTCATGTCCGCCCGGAAATGGAGGTCAGCAGATCTAATGTTGGCACCAACAGATTGCGGACAATATCAAGTCTGGTGTGAAGTTCAATGATTTTGTCGTTGAGATTTACCAGAGGAGACGGTTGATACTGAATTGAGATGAAGCCATGATTATTCATGATTGCAATAAGAAGAGTTGATAGGTAGGTACGCAGTATAAGATGTAAGTGATATCGAATTAACAATCTTAATGCCTTAGCCTCATTTTTCTGCCTTAACCGATAGTCATGACGAACAGCACCCTTGAAAAAAACATGCATGAACCCTTGTAAAGGAGAGGAATGAAGGAGCTCACTCTGACTTTTTCTTTTAGAAATATTATTGTAAAAGTTATGGCATTTGGACATGAACTACACCATATGATATATATCATATTCTGTTCCTGTGCATTCTGGACACAAGCAATAATGCTTGGACTGGCTTCTATTTGCACTATCCATCACCTTTACGCCCTCCCCTGGACAACCTAACAACCTAGCCAAATCTGCCCGCTAAGGTAGGAAGGTAGCTAGCCTGTATCAGACATTATGATACGAGTACGGAGGCTGCAGATCAATTAAAAATCCATCATAATAATGAATCCATCGATCAATCTCGAAACGTCATGCAAAATCTACGGTACAGACCAAATGTCTTGAATCCTTCATCCCAAACTTCGGAATAACCACACCCCCGACGGCTCAACGTTTTCTCAGTCTGACTTGATGTCGTGGTTTCATTGGTCGCCATTGTCCCGTGTCCCCAAAAGACGGTAGATCTCATGATACGATCGGACCATCAAACCACCCAATATCCGACAGAGGGAGCCCCCATATTCTTCACTCTTGGACGGAAGATTAATATCTCCATGGATCCATTATCTACGCGTCATAGTTGCCATTGATGTTCAATTGACACTATCTTACCTGTGTGACATGAAGATGAGTCTGAACTGGAGTGGCTATGAAGCTGTCATGTTGGTTGGAATACGCCATAGTATGCCTGGATCGGGGTCCATGCGTAATCTTTCAATCTGTGTGACCTTTTTGCAGGTGTCTGAATGTGTCTCTCTTATCGCAGGGTCCTCTACGACTTGTCTCTCCTTGAGCCCATTGTGCCATAGAGTTGATCAAAAAAACAAAACCATCTGGTGGTATCCGGGCCGTCTTCATACTTTTTTCTGTTATCCTCAGTCCACCTGCCTACGTGGTTCCTTAGGCGAAGGACACAATCGACAAAGCGTCAATATTCGGGCTCCACAATGAAGCTCCGATCCTGAATCCATATCTTACCAAAGCATCACTGACACAGGCACGGCAATATCAACCAGGAGGGAGGCGGGAGGGCTCGAGGAGCAAAACAGAAGCACACGACAGGACAGGGCCATTATCCCTGTTGACTTGTTGTGGCAGTGCAGCCTTTCCAGCTTCCATTCGCTGTAGACACCAACAGAAAGACATGACAGGTTAGAACTGCGCTGAACCGGGGGCTAACTTAACGCTCCAAGCTCCACTAGGCTGTCCTGCCGACGGGACCGCCCCTCCACTTCATGGTGCATGGTGCGCGGTGGCTGCTGGCTGCATCTCTTCTGCCCTCATTTGCATCTCATCACATCACAATAGCACCAGATTCTCCTTCACCGCACTTGCTCGAAACGGGGAAACTCAGCTTCTGCCCCCAGCTTCGAATTCACCTTTTTCTCAAGAGATAATCCGTGCTCAACCACGATCTCGCCTCTCTTCTCGTTCTTCAACACGCGTCATGGAATTATCTTCCTTATAATCTCTCTTCCTTCTCTGCTCTCCACAGTTGCTTCTCCTTTACTCAAAGCCAACCGTATAGAGGCCCCCTGCCTCTGCGGCCATGCTGCGATTTTACTCACATTTCAGGGTCCTCTCCATATATTCTCCGGGAACTCGTTGACAAACGACACGTGAAGAATACATATCTCTTCCTCCTTTTCCCCCTTTCTCTATCCATCATGCCTCCTCGACGCTCTCACAAAAAGTCTCGGGCGGGTTGTCGGAGGTGTAAGAATAGGAAGATAAAAGTAGGTCTTGTCGATCCTCTGCTTATGCCTCAACGCATCGCACCATTGCGCGTTTGTCGTTCAGATATGAATATTCTTCGCATTGGCTTGCATCGCCCCCAGACTGTTTGTCGTTCTGGACGCCTGGACTGACTGGGAATTTCCATGTTGTAGTGCGACGAAGTTCACCCACGATGTGGTAATTGTGCCAAGCACGGCGTTCCCTGCGATTTCAGCAACCCTGATGTCCTTGAAGAACTCGCCATATCAACTAATACCAGCACTGAGAGTATCGGCGCACCTACTCCCTCGCCTGCGCCGACTGTCAACTTTAATTCCGCTCCAAGAACTCCGCTACCACGCCCACGTGCCCCTTCAAGTCCAGCCAGAGCGCCGCGACCAAATCCTTCCCCTCCGACTTCCGTCTACTCGCAACCTTCGATAAGCTCGTCCACCCACACCATAGACCATGGTGAACGAATGCTCGAGCTGCGTTTGATGCATCATTACACCAATGTCACCTCCAAGACGCTCCTGACCAACTCGCCTGCCGCCGAGGATATCTGGCAGCGTGCCGTCCCACAGATGGCCTTCTCTGGCAATGGCAAGACGTACCTCGCCGACGCCATCTTGTCTGTCGCAGCCCTCCATTTGCGCTCAATGTCTCCGAATGACAAAGCATTGGTGCGCGCTTCACATGCCTACTCGGCCTCGTCTCTTTCTGCATTTGGGGCGTCGCTAGGCTCAGGCATTACACCTGACAATGCGGAGGCCCTGTTCCTCACAGCGACGCTAATTGCTTTCCAAGCGAGTGCCTCTCGCATCTTTGTCAAGGACGACGGGGATTCTGCCCCTGGGGACTCAACAAGTCGATATGTGCCCCCGCTCTCCTGGTTCCATGCTTTTCAGGGCGTCAAGACTGTGGTCGCAAACTCGTGGCAGTGGATCCACCACAGCGACATTGTCAAGGTTGTCATTGATTCGCAACCTGGTTTCCAACTGAACCTCAACCCGCGCTCGCCTGACTCATTCTTCGGCCATATGCTGGAAGGGTTAAACGATGAATTGATGAACGAAGATCCTCGTTTGCTTTCAACGACTACTCAAGCTTACTCACATGCAGTCAGCGTGCTCAACTGGGCGCACAAAAACTATCACGCAGCTGCCGCGCTCACATTCCCTGCCACTGTTTCCAAGCGCTACGTTGATCTTGTTGATGCGAGACGTCCCCGTGCTCTTGCCATCCTTGCTTGCTTCTTCGCATTACTGAAGCGAATGGACAATGTATGGTGGTTGCAAGATGTTGCTCGTCGAGAGGTCATGGGCTTGGTCAGCTTATTCGAACCCGGATCTAAGTGGTGGCGGCACCTCGAGTGGCCAATAAGAATCGCTTTGTTAGACGGCAGTTCTATACCACAAGACATCTGGGGCACGGAGCTCGAAGAGCAAGCACCAGAGCAACAGACTGTTGGCTCTATGACACAGCACATTGAGATATTTGCTGAGATGTTACACCAGCATGCACAGCCTCCTATTCCCATTGCAGACGAGGATCTTATCGTTCCTGACTCACCTGACTGAAGGGTCGTGGCAGCCATGCACAGCCATGCTGGTCGGGCCCTGGGGCTTAGAGCTGGTCTCGCGGCCTTTCAATATCTTGTTGGTAATCAGCTTCAGCATGTCGCTGGTCAGCAAGGATTGCTTCTAATCTACACTCGACAGAAGAGGACAGCCCACATCGCTCCACTTGATGATTCACGACCATCTCTTCACATTCGGAATGTGTAACCTGCATCATATCAAGATGTACTGGGACGAAATGTTTCGAATGATGACCTGTGTAAGAGATAACATAGCATACCTTACCGTCCGATTACATTTTCAGCGCGATAATGTACCGAGGAGGAAAATGCTAAATGTTAGAGATTCTTTGCCAGGCACCTAAGGACTTGGCCATTGCGTTTTCAGCACAATGGCAAGCCTATCATTGATCACGACTTACGAGTTGAAAGGTTCAGCCAGGCACGGGAAACAGTACAATTAGATCGAACAAGCACAAGCTTTCACTTGGGCTTATGGTTTCATTGCTCCATGTTGCATACCCAGCAGAAGTGTCCAGGTCAATGCTGGAAGGGGGCCTTTCACTTTGATCTCCATTTAATCAGTATATAATGTCTTTACAATAGAGAAATGCGGTTCGGGGCCTTTGATGTACTCATGTATATAATATTGTCCAACAAGCAATACTTGTAATAATTGGAAGATACGAGCAACGCTAGCCTTGCTTCAAGCAGTTGGATTTAGACAGTCTGGCTGACTTACAAAGGAGAGGCGACAGCATGGGGGTCACCACGCGCAGACAGACGACAGCAATATCAGAAATTTCAATTAGATATACGACAGGGCCTGTCATGTTTAGGGATGAACCCAGTAAATCAATTATTGACATAGCCTTTACAAGACCTTTTCCAAGACGCCCAACTCCGAGCATGCAATGCCGCACATCTACTATTGCTTTATCCTCTTGGACTCCTCCTCTTCAACGACATCCACCGCATCTTCGGCATCCTTTCGACTTCGCTTCAGACCCTTCATCTTGCGGAGCTGCAGCTCGCTGAGATCCTGCTTGCCCAGATGCACGCGACCAATCTTGTCACCCATAGAGTCGGTTGTGATGTTCTTCTTGGTGCGCTCCTCGATGCCGCGAGGCTTCTTCATGGCCTCCTTAAGCATTGACTCGTCGGGCTCCCTGACTCGGCCGACACGGAAATCCATGCGAGGACCGATCTCCTCAACCTCAACACGGGGAAGTCGCTGACCGGATCGCTTGGTACTGATGGTGTAGACTCGCAAGTGGATGGCGGGCTTAACGTCACCGTCGCCAGTGCTATCCTCTGCGCTGATGGAGATGATGTACTGGAGACCCTCGACGTCAATCTTGTCGCTAGGCTCGCCCTTGAAGAAATCAAGGAGCATGCTCTTCGCAAGGGTGAACTCGTTGCTGACAGGGCTCTCAAAAGCAGTACCAGCGAACAGGATCATAGGCCGCAGACCAATGGCGAACTTCTTGGTCTTGAATTGAGCGATAGCACGGAAGCTCTCCGGGTCGAGGTAGAGCTCAAGCATGTCGAGGACCTTGTAACCAAAAGTGCGAACAAAAGTCAAGGTGTGAGGACGCTTCTTTTGGCTGCTACCAAAGACGAGGAGACTGGCGTCGTTCTTTTCGGAGAAAAACTCGAGCGAGGCGGCGTCGTCAAAGGGATGGATGGCGTTCTTCTTGGTGAACTTCTTAGCGAGAGGTTGGCGCATCTGATGAAGATCATTGAGGGCATCTTGGACGATCTGAGAGCATGTTGTTCCGCGGAGGAAGAGGCACGTCTTGGGATTCTCGTTGGCCTTGGGCTCGCGCTTCTCAAGGGCTCGCTTTGAGCGCGCATTGCGAGGTTTACTTGATGATTGTTAGTTTACAGAACAATAATTGAGGTTGAGAGTCGGCTTGACATACACTTGTCTGAGCATCTTGTAAATTGGGGATGATAGATGTCCTTTAAAAGATCGATGGTGAGGCTTCGAGATGGGAGGTTGGCTTGCAGCCTTGGTAGGAACGAGGAAAAAAAAATTCTTATCGATAAAGCCTACACGCTACTCACCGTTTACCGAGAGCAATGGGTTCCATTTTGCCTTCTCAGCTCGGTGAGACCCCTGCTCGCTAACTTTCGACCACCCCGCAGTCACGTGTGCTGTAGTTATCTTCACATTCGGTAAGTACTGCCGATAAAGGTAAAGAAGACGGCGGAGCCTCGGTATTTTCCCCGCCATAGCGCGGGCATCTCTTCGGGTTTCGCTAGTTCATAGTAGGAGTTCGACCTTCTTCCATCTGAACTGTTAACTACAACTCATATCTTTTCATATCAATAAAGCGAAAACTCATCATCAGCCTGAAACTTCCATCATTTCTTTTTGCTTACCGACATACCCGAACACTTAAGACCTGTCCTACTGAACATTAGCCGTCATGTCGTTTATGGGTGGCGCTGAATGTTCGACTTCTGCGAACCCCCTTAGCCAGCTTCATAAGCATACTCAGAATGACAGAACACTTCAGCAGGATCGTCTAGTTGGTCGAGGACCTGGAGGACAACTCAATGGTTTTCGAAGCCAGAGCGCCAATGCGCCCCAGGATGAGGTACGCCGCCCTGCAAGGCCGATGAAGCCATTACTAATACACCAATCTTGATGCTATAGATGATGAACGGCTTCCTCAATCAAGGCCCAAGCCTCCAACAAGAATTCCCCATGCAGCCGGGCCAGATGGGCCCTCTCAGCCCAGCCCAGTCCCATATGCGAGCCAACTCGGCGTCGCCAACATGGGCGCACGACTTCAATGGCCAGCCAGCGATGGAATCAGCTTTCCAGGCGCCACCTGCAGTGCAATCGCACTTTAACGCTGACGAGTTTGCCCGTTTTCAGCAGCTAAATACACAAGGTTCTTCCGCGAGAGCGAGTCCGATGCAGAGCAACGTTCCCAGCCAGATGAACCAACAAAGACCCATGATGGGCGGCATGATGAACCGACCGATGGGCTACACCCCTATGTTCCAGCCTATGTACCAAAACCAACAGCCCATGCACCAACCGCAACAGCAGGATCTCAAGGGCAAGGGCCGCCTCGTGGAGCTTGACGACCACAAGTGGGAGGAGCAGTTCGCTTCGATGGAGCTGCAAGATAGTGATAAGGCTAAGGAACAAGAAGAGGCGAATGCCGCAGAGCAGGAGCTTAATGAAATGGACAAAGGCTTAACGGCCGAAGCTAATGAGTTGGGTGACTTCGAATCTATATGGAGAGGAATCCAAGCTGAAACGGCTGCTTCTAGACAAGACTTTGACCAATTCGATACCGAATGGAGCAACAATATGATGCCCGATTTCGAGGGTATGGGCGACTGGGGCCGCCTTGGTGACCCGGCCGTCGAAACCTACCTATTCGAACAAGACAACTTCTTTCGCGACGAAAAGAACGCTTTCGAGGAGGGTGTGCGCATCATGAGAGAAGGCGGAAACCTGTCCTTAGCCGCGCTGGCTTTCGAATCCGCCGTTCAACAGAATCCCAACCATACCGAGGCGTGGGTTTATCTAGGAACAGCCCAGGCGCAGAATGAGAAGGAGACAGCAGCTATCAGGGCTCTTGAGCAAGCGCTGAAACTCGACCCCAACAACTTGGCAGCCTTGATGGGCCTGGCCGTGTCATACACCAACGAAGGTTACGACAGCACAGCATATCGAACTCTTGAGAGGTGGTTGTCCGTTAAGTATCCTAACATTCTCGATCCCAAAGACCTACACCCCCCTGCAGAGATGGGTTTCACAGACCGACAGCAGCTTCACGACAAGGTGACAAATCTGTTCATCAAAGCGGCACAGTTGAGCCCTGATGGTGAGCACATGGATCCCGATGTGCAAGTAGGCCTTGGAGTGCTCTTTTATGGCGCAGAGGATTATGACAAAGCAGTGGATTGCTTCCAGTCTGCCCTCCACTCGTCAGAGGTTGGTACATCCAACCAACAAGAGCAGCTTCATCTCCTCTGGAACCGCCTTGGTGCGACTCTTGCCAATAGTGGACGCTCCGAGGAAGCCATTGCGGCATACCAAGAGGCCCTTGCTATGGCTCCTAACTTTGTTCGAGCCCGCTACAACCTGGGTGTCAGCTGCATCAACATTCACTGCCACCATGAGGCTGCCTGCCACTTCCTAGCCGCTCTGGAGATGCACAAGGCCATTGAGAAGTCCGGTCGGAGCAAGGCGTACGAGATTCTGGGCGATAATGCCTCTGGCGTCGATGAGACACTCGACCGTATGTCGGCGCAGAACCGGAGCAGCACCCTATACGATACCCTTCGGCGTGTCTTTACACAGATGGGTCGCCGGGATTTGGCGGAGAAGACCGTTGCCGGTGTAGATCCGGATGTGTTCAGACCTGAATTTGAGTTTTAGGGCTTCACGTCTTTTGTTTTTTGAATGAGTTGACTTGCATGAAGAAGCAGTCTGCCTCAAGGAGGTTCGGAGAGGGCTCAGCAATAGTGCATTTACCATGGGAAATGATTTTGGGCCTGGCCTAGATGTTACATATGAGAGACTTGCATGGCTCTGGAAGAATTTGCATTGCAGTGATGTCGTCCCTGGAGCAACGATATCCTATTGTGTACAACTACTTCTACGCTCATTTATCATGCATGAATGTCCACGAATAATTACGCTTGGCTAATCATATACATTGTATCTATATGTTAATTCACGCTAAGAATCCATTTTATTTCTGCTGTGGAAAAGCGGCTACTGCCGCAAGTGGCTGTGTCGACATAGACGAAGGACTTCTTCTCGTATTAACTCTGATCTTGTAGTTATACTCTCATAAGACTTCTCTGATCATCCGAAGCGCTCTTGGTATTCTCAGACTGGTCTAGACCTCAAGGTTCAATTCTATTTGTGCCTTTGCTTCTCGATATCGCATGGTTACACCTTGAAGTGTGCAAAATGTGTGGCAAGCTCGAATTTTGACTAACCTGCACACAAAGACACATGTTAGATGTTCAGGCATGTCGGCTCGTCCACCGAGGTAAGGCGTGCGATGCGAGCATCATCTGTCAGCTATATCAACTCTGAATAACACTTCTCAACAACTTCAGGCAGCACACCAACTACTCACTACCTTCTATACAGTGATGAATGTTGAAAAGGTAAAAACTTCTTTTCCCACTGGCGACTCAACCAGGCTTGTTAGTGCTGCACCATATGACTCGCAAGACGACAATGCTAGGACAGCCGGATCATCGGATTGTGAATTGAAGGCTAATGATATCCAGAACTCGTCGGCGCGACTTCGATGGCCCTGAGATACCATCGGTCTATGTATAGCCGAACGGACACACATCTCGAGTCATTCTGTTGAGGGGTTTTACTAACAAGTTACGCATGGGAGGTAGTGATCTAAGCCATGCACCTTGGTTAGCATGAGAGTGGCATATCGTTATCATCTCCGCACTATTCCCACCCAACTCTCTCTCATATCCGTTGGTTTAGTCTTGTCTTCGTTGCCACTGGCCCTGCTGCCGAGGCAGTGGATCTTTCGGGTATCTTCAGATCACTGATAGCTAAGTAGCTAAGTAGCAACCTAGCCAACTCCGTGCCGTCTGTTACAGGTCAAATGCACCTTCATGAAGGCAGACGCATGTCTCGCCAGAACGAGACTTAACCCATGCAGCCGCAATAGAACCCACTATTATATGAATAGAGCGGCAGCTGGATATCAGACATTGAGCTTCTTCTCCGAGGTGGAGAAATATCTGAGATGCAAGAGGCTAGAAATGTCATCCAACAGGATCGGGGCTTGAATACGCAAGGGAAGAAGCAGGCTGGGACGAGAGAGGAGCAATGACTGGACCATCTTGCTGGCAAAAGCGAAAAAGTGTGAGACAGGTCTCAGGCACTCGATTGACTTGATTGGGCTGAACAAGACATCGATGTGATGAACGTCGAGAGATGCAGCGCGCAAAGTCTTGCTCAAATCAGGTTATGTGTCGATGGGATGGATGCTTTGAGAGACAGACCTGTCAAAATAGTGATGCCATGCGATGCATGTTATTTGACTGAGGGTGGCCAAGACACTGGCCAGATCCTGCAGAGAGCTTTGGTCATCCCTACATTGTCCTTGACAGTCCCTTGTCGCCAGGACCTCCAGAAACAGTACATCCTTCACGGTACCAGAGGCAGCCATGAAGCGAGTTATCCAAGTTGTTGAATGTTGGCCCAAACAAGCAAAGCTGGCGGTGACACACGGCTGTTCAAAAGTCCGTTGCAATAACAAGTCTCCTGCTAGCAAATAAACCCATCTTTTCCCCGACCTGCCTTAAGATGGCACTGTTGGAAATGGAACTTATGACGGGTCAGCATTGAGTGTTGAGAGACGGAGGGCGTTGAACTAGTCACTTAGTCTAGGTAGGGGCCCCCAGAATTCGATCCAAGCGCGTGCGTGCTTGATCGAGGCGTGGAAGTGACGATACTAAAGTTAGTTCATCGCGGACTGGCGTGCTCTGGGGTACGACGATGTATTGTACAGTGCCTCATCTTATCCTCTGATAGCAAGACCGTAGACAGCAAGATCTTGAACGTCCCAATTGACTACTTACCAACATCAGTGTGCAACAGCAATTGAGAGAAAGAGATGTAACTGTGGCACTGTCATTGATGTGAGAAGTAGAGCTAATTTGCTTCCATATTCTCTTCGCTCGTCGCCAATACTTGTGTGAGCTCTCAATGTCGCAGCTGACCGCTTATCTGTGTCTCAGCGGCATGTGTTAATCAAACTCAGGTTGGCCGTCAGACAAGATGTTGACATGAGACTGTGGCCCAGCTGAGATCTGTAATAAATCTCGTTCTGCGACATGGTCTTGCTGAATTTGTGTCAGTCGAGAAATGTTATCTTGTCGGTCCGTGGCTGTCATTTCCTGCCGCTATTCAAGTGTTAATGTCTAATAATCCCCAACAGCATCGCCATCAAGTACCTATTTATTGAGGGCAGATCTCGTTCTCGCCAACCCTGGCAAAGATGGTGAGCAAGATTGAACGATCATCGTTGGCCTCTACGGATACTGTACT